CAGACGTATTGTTAGGTCATTGTAGAAGGTATTTATTTTACATCAAAGATCGCTTACCTCAAAGCATAAGAAAGCCTCACTGCAGATTCCGGAGCTTACAGTTTCGAGCTCGTTTCCCTGGGAGTGCAGTGAGCCGTATTTCAAGGCTTGCGCTGTACAACAGACAACCACTTTCTTTCGCTACACGGCTGGATGAGTATCAAGGTCAACAAACACATGCTAATCATTCTAGTGTCGCCTAGTCTCAGTTTCTTTGGGGGGAGCGTTCCGTGACATCTCGAAAAACGGCTGCGGAGGAGACTAAGTGTCGCCCAATCCACGCACATTTAACTACTACTAAACTAGCGCGAGTTCCGTATTAGGAAAACATTGGTCGAAATCTTTTTTGCAACTTTTTTATGGACCTGGCCGATAACTCGCAAAAAAACAGAGACCAACATTTCCCATTACAGACCGAAAAGATTAGTTCAGTGAAATATTTTTTATTATAATAGCCGTTTTACAGTCAAAACAAGTCAAGCGTACCACTCAAGTATACACTGATAAATTGATTATTTGAATATTGAACCCACTAGTCGTTTAAAGGGTGCAACAGTGACTTCATTGTTTGAATATTGAACCCGTTAGCCGTATTCTTAGAACGACTAGCGGGTTCAATATTCCATTAATCAGCGGGTTCAATTTTCAAATTATCAATTCATCAATGTAATCTTGAGAGCCACGCTTCACTTGGTTTCACTGTTAATGCGTCCTCGTGACCCTTTCAGTACGTGTTCAGCATTTATTTTCTTTTGTCAGGTTGCTTTCACGAAAGTTAAACCGTCTTGCCACTACTTTTTGCCATTATTTTTCCTAGTACTTCCCTCGCTCTCGGATAGAATGTCTCACATTGAAAATCAAAGGCAGAAATGATTTCGTAGCCGTCACGCAACACGAGGCAAAAAGGAAATTTCCACGTTTCAACGAGCATCAGTGGTCTTCCTGGTTTCTATCATTCTCCTCATCCTACGCCGTCACTCTCTCTATCAACAGGTCGATCTCTGCCAAAAACCGTTCGATTACAACATCTGGACCTTCTGGAAATTTAAGTCTGGCTTCCAAGGGGAAATTTTGAGTGAAGTCCTATAGAACGAAACATCTGAACACCACTTCGGGCCAGACTTTTACCTTTGTATTTAATTCCCTTTGTCCAAATTAGTTACTGTCTATAGGAGCTCTAATCGAACGGGTTTAGGTTAATAGCGATCAAAACGGGGACATTTTTGGTTACAAAACCAGCGTTGAAAGGCCCCCGGAAAAGGGGGAAAGACGTCTGGGGACGAAAATGATTTTGTATCCTTGTTGAACATCACGCAGAATGGAGCGGGTGTATGGATGGATAACAATGAACAGTAAACTAGGAACAACAAACGACTTGCATAAATCATTTATTGACAACAACATTCATTTGCCGCCATCTACCCTGGCTCGAGTTATTCTTAATAAACAGGTTTTAAATAGGCCGCGATCGATATATCAATGTTCTAACATGGCTCCGAGGCTTTCAGGACAAAATTGCAGATTTGTTAAGTTCCGCGTGTTCCAAGAACACCACCAAATAAAGAAGTTCGACCTTGATGCCTCGGAGCCCTGTTAGAATATTGATATATGAAGCGTAGCCTACTGTTTACATTGGTAATCACACACGCACACAGATGTAAATTTTACATATCACGTGCTTCAAAGCTTCTGTCTTGGATAGCTATATCCACCAAGCAGGTTGTGATCTAGTGTGGTCCTGCAATTTAGTCTCATTGTAGGTTAACTCGAGTGACACTCAAGCAGGTTTAAGCGAGAGTTACAGATGGTACATGAATCACCCAAACAGGAGATAATCACCGTGAAACCCAGTGTGTTAATTTAAGTCAAACTACAAAAATCCACACAAGTTTTAACCATATTTCTGATGACAAATCCAAATAGGCTGGAAAGCTGTGCACATCAAGTCAAGGAGATATGTGCTATTTAATTCAGTTACTCGCCAAGGTAGTGTGATATGTTTATTTCAGTTCCTCGCCAGGGTAGTGTGAACTCTTCATTTGTACTGAACTGTGGTCCAACCCTCTGGATCTGATTGCTCTGCAGGGGGTCGTTCGCGACCGCGACGGGACGCTGACCAGGATTTTCCTACAAAAGAAAAGTAACTTTAAACTTACAAAAGAGCTAGCAGTGCACTGCATGGAAACGATACGCTGGTCGCTAATTCATTCTTTCAGTTCGCTAAAGGTCATTTCCGTAAACCACAGAAAATAGGACCAGATCGTAAAGAGAAATATAGGCAAGGGGAGGGGGGATGCGTGGGGTGGGAAGGGGGAGGGGGGGTCTTAAGCTAATCTGAAGACGTTCTCAGATTACAAATTGGGGAGGGTGGGAGGCTTGCGCTAACCAACCTTCAGTACGTGCAGGGGGTGGTTCTCGTCTCCACTGATCACGACCTGGCTCATCCCCTCTAGCTCTCCACGTATCACGATCACGGTCACGATCATCTGAACGCTCATTCCTCCACCCAGGGCGATCACGATCATCACGATCTCGATCTCCTCTAAAGCGGTCTCCTTCACGGCCTCCACGATCCCGATCACCGCGATCACGGTCAGGACGCCAAGAATCCCCTGATGGACGGTCACGCTCATCTCGATCACGTCCCCGCCAAGCCATCGGTCTGTCACGGTCGTCACGCCCACGATCATCGCGTCCACGTTCATCGCGTCCACGAACATCGCGTCCACGTTCATCGCGTCCACGTTCATCGCGTCCACGATCATCGCGACCACGTTCATCGCGTCCACCTTCATCGCGTCCACGTTCATCGCGTCCACGGTCATCGCGTCCACGATCGTCACGCCATCGGTCGTCACGACCACGGTCGTCACGGCCACG